TCATGGCCAGCTTCTCACCCCCCAGTATCCCCAGTTCCTTTTCCTCAGGGCTGTTTTTAAGACATTATATTCTGTAGTTCCACTCTTAAGAATCATAGAATCATTTGGGTTGGAGGGGGCCTTAAAGATCATCTAGGTCCAACCAAGAGAATATAATTGGTCTTAACTGATCCGACAATAGGGTGAGGCTTTGTGCGGTGGTAGGTACCACACAAACTCAGAAGAAGGTATTGATTGAGAGTTTTAAAGACAGGCCATAACCAGCAATAGCCAAATGAACCCATGCTGGACAGTAAGAAGGTAATGTGTATTTTCAGTCTGCACCAATTTATATTAAGTCCCTGTCCTACTTTTTTTTCCTTCTTTTAATCTTCGGAAATACCTAAGAACAGTTTGTATATTGGCCGATTTTGATAGATTTTCTCTCTGTGCTCCCAAGGAACGTTGGTATCACCATTACTTAAACCTCTTATAAAGCAACACAGTTGCACAAGACAGCAGTTATTTTTTCTCATTTTCTTCAGGCTTTGTCTTCACAGTGCATTCTGATGGTTAGTCAAGAAATGACATAATTAATGTGACTTCACTGTGATTGCAGCCCTGTTCTGGAAGCTAGAAAGTTGTGTGTCCCCATGACAATTTATGTAACGATGACAGCACGTGCGTTGGGACTGTTTTCTGCCTACAGATACACTCTGATGGTAGGAATTTTAACAGATGGGTTCTTTTCAGTTGGACAGGATGCTGTGGGAAGAACGCAATGGAAAACGTCCCGTGGTTGCATTTTGTAGAAAGATTTGGCTTTTTCATTAAAAGCCAGCCGTATCCTGGGCTGTGTCAGAAGTGTGGCCAGGGGGGCAAGGGAGGAGATTCTGCCCCTGTACTCTGCTCTGGTGAGACCCCCCCTGGAGTGCTGCGTCCAGCTGTGGAGCCCTCAACATCAGAAGGATATAGACCGGTTGGAGCGAGTCCAGAGGAGGCCACGGAGATGCTCAGAGGGCTGGAGCCCCTCTGCTATGATGAAAGGCTGAGAGAGTTGGGCTTGTTCAGCCTGGAGAAGGGAAGGCTCCAGGGAGACCTTATTGCAGCCTTCCAGTACCTGAAGGGGCTACAAGGAAGCTGGCGGGGACTTTTTACAAGGGCCTGTAGTGACAGGACAAGGGGTAACGGGTTTAAATTCAAAGTGGGGAGGTTTAGATTAGATATCAGGAAGAAGTTCTTCCTGGAGAGGGTGGGGAGGCCCTGGGACAGGTTGCCCAGAGAAGCTGTGGATGCCCCACCCCTGGAAGTGTCCAAGGCCAGGCTGGATGAGGCTTGGAGCAACCTGGTCTAGTGGAAGGTGTCCCTGCCCATGGCAGGGGGGGTGGAACTAGATGATCTTTAAGGTCCCTTCCAACCCAAACCATTCTGTGATTCTATAAGATGAAAAACACTGCCCTGCTGGAGAAATAAAAGAAATAGATTATTTACAGTTGCTATGTTATGATCCAAAAATAATATTTGAAAGACCACAGTATGCTGTATTTCTGTGCTGTCAAAGAATCTTGTGTTATCTGACATTCCTCAGATTGTAATCTCATCAATCATAATGTGAGATTTTCATAGTGTCCTACTGAATAACCCACTGGCAATTTATGACATGTCTCAGTTACACAAGCACTAAAAGGAGTCAGGTTGGTATGACTGTTATTGGAGGGTGTGAAGCTAAGCCTGAATCCTCAGAGGTATTTAGCTGTCTAAATCCCATTGATTTTAATGCAAATCAAATACGTAAATGTCCCTTGTGAATGTCTGTCATTGTCCCCAGGCTCCTCGATTGCCTGTCTTCCTGAAATACCAAAGTGCTGTGTTATTGTGATCACTCCTTCCAACAAAATTCAGACAAAGAAGGTTGTGGTTATGGTTGCGGAAGCCCTAACACCTCATGAGACAAATTACAGCTTCCTGCTAGTTTGTAACTATTGAATTCTCTTTTTTCTTTTCCAGCCCTTTCATCCGATGGTGAATTTGGAATGCTCCAGAGATTTTCGGCCATTTCTTTGTGCCCTCTACGCTCCTGTGTGCATGGAGTACGGCCGTGTCACCCTCCCGTGTCGCAGACTCTGTCAAAGGGCGTACAGCGAGTGCTCCAAGCTCATGGAGATGTTTGGGGTCTCTTGGCCTGAGGATATGGAGTGCAGCAGGTGAGCAAATCTCTTTTTTTCAGAACCTCAGGATAAAATTTTAGCACGATCTAGGATGTTTTATGATCTGAAAGAGACGTTTTAAATGTGTTCATTGCGAGTGCCCCTATTTTCCTTTCCATTTCTGTAACAGCCTGTTTCCTGGGGTGGAAACTGCGTTCATATTTCTCTCATACGCCCAAGAGATAAGTTAAAAATTTCTGTGGGTAATTACCATTAATATTAACGGCACATGCATATTCTTAAATGAATGCATATACCCATCCATTTCTCTTCTTTGTCATTTATGCTGACCTGGTTTTCTCTCCTGTGCCGAAGTTTAATAGGTGAGACTGCTATAAATTTCTCTTGAGAGTGAGATGAAATTGCGTACACTAGAGATTAATAGTCTCTTTTTCTGAAGGGGGAGCTGGCTGTTTGTGATGAGTATATAGAATCTCAGAGCTCTGTTTTCAGAACATCTACTGCTTGTTGAGCTTGTGTGCACACACGTTTTCAGCTTTACGTTACACCAATAACGTTAATAGAAAAGATTTCAATGATGTTCCACTCTATTTGGTACAGAATACACATGAAATGGAAAACAAGATCTTTATGCTTTCATTTTTTTTTTTGGAAGTGACTCCAACAGCTCATAAAATCAGGAGCACAAACAGGAACATAGTCACTCTTACAGTTGGATTGGAGAGAATGAAAAGGCTGGGGGCTGATCGTACAGGCTGGGGGCTGAGCTGTTGGAGGGCAGCTCTGGGAAAAGGACCTTGGAGTCCCAGTGGACAACAGGATGACCATGAGCCAACAGTGTGCCCTCATGGCCAAGAAGGCCAATGGCATCCTGGGGTGCATTAGATAGAGAGTAGCCAGCAGGTCGAGGGGAGTTATCCTCCCCATGTACGCTGCGCTGGTGGGGCCTCCCCTGGAGTGTTGTGTCCAGTTCTGGGCTCCTCAGCTCAAGAAGGACCAGGAGCTACTGGAGAGGGTCCAGGGCAGGGCCAGTACCGTGATGAAGGGCCTGGAGCACCTTCCACATGAGGAAAGGCTGAGAGAGCTGGGGCTGTTCAGCGGGAGAAGAGGAGGCTGAGGGAGGATCTTATCAATGCTTATCAATATCTGAAGGGTGGGTGTCAGGAGGATGGGGCCAGGCTCTTCTCAGTGGTGCCCAGTGACAGGACGAGGGGCAATGGCCATAAACTGGAAACAGAAGGTTCAACCTGACCATGAGGAAACCCTTCTTCCCGGTGAGGGTGACAGAGCCCTGAACAGGCTGCCCAGGATGGGGGGAGTCTCCTTCCCTGGAGAATTTCCAAAGCCCCTGGACTTGTTCCTGTGTGATCTAGTCTGGGGGATCCTGCTCGGGCAGGGGCGTTGGACTAGATGATCTCTAGAGGTCCCTTCCAACCCCCTCCACTCTGTGAATCTGTGAAAAACAAAACTTCTTTTAGCAAAAGAGTAAGTCAGAGGATGATGCTTCTAGGTCCTGATAATGTGGATCAAAGATGGCTCTAATTTCATACTCCAAACAGATGCCTTGGCCCTTTGGGTCCTCTCATTTCCTCTGTAAGGCCCAGGTAGTGAAGTTTCCAAACCAGAGGTAAAACTGGTGAAACTTTGCCGGTGCTGAGTTAGTGCTGTTGTGCCACAACATGGACTGTGGCAGTGGAACAGGCATGTTTGGCTTGTGCTGCACTCACTGAGGTGATAACATATAGCAGAGGGAGGAACTGGGACAGCTATGCATGGAATCCCTCACGTCTCTCCTTCAAAACTTCAGACTGCACCTCCAGCAGTCCTCAGCCTCCAGTAAGAGCTTTCCTTAATTACTGAAATATCTTATCATGTCAATTATTAATGCTAGTAGCAGTGCTAGGTTGGATTTTTGGTCTAACCAGCTCACCGTCCTGTCTGATAGCAGTTAGTACAGTTGCTTAGGGAAAGGTTTTAAAATGTTCTGTAAAATCATGCTTCCTTGGGCACATAGTCTCAGTTTTCTAAATTTATAGACTTCCTGGGATGGATTTTGTATCCTCACCTTTCTGCTTAAAGCCCCAGAGGGCCCCTCGCCCATTTATTTCTCTGTTTTGTCTTTAAACCTGTTTTATAGTTTCAACATCCTCTGCATTCTGGGACAGTAATGATTTGTAGAGTTTGTGTATAGTGTGGTTTTTCATGGATTACCCAATATTCGGATTGTCTTTGGTTTTGCTCCAGTTAGTGTGTCTGAAGTCAGACATGAATAAGGTTACGAGTCTTTGCAAAGTATGTACGTATTTCTTGTAAATAAATCTTTTTCTTACTTTTTAGATTCCCGGATTGTGATGAGCCATATCCTCGTCTTGTTGACCTCAATTTAGCTGGGGAGCCCACAGAAGAGACCCCAGTGGCAGTACAGAGGGATTATGGTTTTTGGTGTCCTCGGGAGTTGAAAATAGACCCTGATCTGGGTTACTCTTTCCTGAGGGTGCGGGACTGTTCCCCTCCTTGCCCAAACATGTACTTTCGGCGTGAAGAGCTCTCCTTTGCTCGCTACTTCATTGGAGTGATTTCCATCATCTGCCTCTCCGCTACCTTGTTTACTTTTTTGACTTTTCTGATCGATGTCACAAGATTTCGCTACCCAGAAAGACCGATAATATTTTACGCTGTCTGTTACATGATGGTGTCGTTAATTTTCTTCATTGGCTTTCTGCTTGAAGACCGAGTAGCGTGTAACGCATCCAGCCCTGCCCAGTACAAGGCTTCCACCGTGACACAGGGCTCTCACAACAAAGCCTGCACCATGCTCTTCATGGTGCTCTATTTCTTTACCATGGCTGGCAGTGTCTGGTGGGTCATTCTTACCATCACATGGTTTTTGGCAGCTGTGCCAAAATGGGGCAGTGAAGCCATCGAGAAGAAAGCCTTGCTCTTCCACGCCAGCGCCTGGGGCATTCCAGGAACTCTAACCATCATCCTCTTAGCAATGAATAAAATTGAAGGTGACAATATTAGCGGCGTATGTTTTGTTGGCCTCTATGATGTGGATGCATTAAGATACTTTGTACTTGCACCTCTCTGCCTGTATGTTGTTGTTGGAGTTTCCCTCCTGCTAGCTGGCATTATCTCTCTCAATCGGGTTCGCATTGAAATCCCATTAGAAAAAGAGAACCAGGACAAACTGGTGAAGTTCATGATCCGGATTGGCGTGTTCAGTGTTCTCTACCTCGTGCCACTGTTGGTTGTAATTGGCTGCTATTTCTATGAGCAGGCTTACCGAGGTGTGTGGGAGACGACGTGGATTCAAGAACGCTGCAGAGAATATCACATCCCGTGTCCCTACCAGGTGAGGAAACCGCTATGACGTATTTCAGGAGTGCTGGATGATGAGGGGCTATGTTAAGACTTCGTTGTCATCCTTAACTGAAAGTGCTGCTATTCCTACAACAGGAGGTTGTTGCCATACTTAGATTATTTGTAGAATGCATTAGGCCGTCTGCACAACGAGGTATTATTGGAAAATTGGAGGTTTGCATCAGCTGCTTAGTGTTTTTTTGTGGAGTTTCTGGGCTGTGCGGGACCTAGACAGGATATGAAGATGCTATTTTAAACCAGCTTCCAGAGCAGGACTTAAGGAGTTTATTTTTGGGCATTAGAGACGTGTTTGAAGTTTTGCTCTGAAGGAATTTTGGCATTTAAACTGAGTTGTCATCAGCCTCTTTTTGTCGTTCTTCTGTAACAGTTTCGTTGCTTTGATTAGCCTAGAGGGTTTGTGCTCATTTTAGAGCAGTCTGTGCATGTGTCAGAAGCGTCTGTATAAAATCTGACTTGAAGTGTCTTCTGACAAAAAAACAGAGCTTACAACTCATCCATTTTGGGGTTTTTTTTCAAGAAAATCCCATTTACCTGCTCATCTGTTTGCGTTACCATGGAAACAGACGCCTGTAAGAGCACTAGGTGTCAAACTGCCCGCTGTTTACTTCAGCATTGTACTACTGCAGTTGCAAGGAGTATTGCAAGCATGAATTACTTTAATCCCACTTTCTTTCTTCAGCCAAAGTGGCAAATTGGGGTGTTTTTTTGAATGATATTGCTGAGATATTTTCTGCCATTTATTTGAAAGCAACTTTATTTGCGGGAGTTTGTAGAGCAGGCATCTGTCATAGAGCTGCGCACGCAGGGGTATTAAACAAAGGTATTTTGGCTCTGACGCTGTTAAAACACCAGCTGGATCATCAAAGCTCAGATCTTAGTGCAATAAAATATCACTGAAATGTTTGGCTTAGTTTATATAGTTTGATAATAATCCTTTCATTACCTTTTAACCCGTTTTATTGTTTTTTCTGTTGGACTTTATTAGGGTGTGACTCTTCCGTCCAGCGCGTGAGCGTTCTCGTGGCAGGAAATATCTGTCGGCGGGTGCGTTCGGTTTCATTTGCTCGACTGAGTCTTCGTTGCTGCAGGTTTTAATACGTTAAACTGACCGGTGCTTAAAAAGAGAGAAAAAGAGGGACATGCAGGTTTCTCCCCGTCAAGTGCAAATACCCACCGTATAGCAATCTAAAATTTGTGGAAGAATCTCTAAAATTAAAAGGATATTGCTTTCTCAAAATGCTGAAGAAAACCGATCTTAAACTTTGACACTTCCGATGTCTCAGGGCTAAAATCCTGGCCAGTGGAATAACGAAAACATGTAGTAAAATGCTCCTCAGATCTCTCGAAAACCGTTACCATAATGGCTCAGCGGGAGTCAAAAGAACAATAATGGTTTCATTCACATCAAATTGGGTTGAAGGACCCGTAGACCCTAGGGAGCATTAGAAGGGTTTTTCTTCTAACCCACCACATTTGCTTTCTTAAACTAAACATGCTTCCCTAATTAAACTGTCCAGACTTAGAACTGAAACAGATTTCCGAAGCTGTGGAGAAAAATAATTTTATCCTTCATTCATGCTTGTAACATGTAGTATTGAATTAGGGGGAAATGTAAAGCTTTGTGGAGAGCATCACTCATTTGCAAAGTAAGACCATATTTTTTCTAAGCCTTGATGTTATTTAGTTTAGCTTCAATTATTTGAATAGCAGTTTCTGAGGTTAGACTGTTTTAAATGGAGAGCTGGAGTTAGAGTTGGAAGGAACCTAAAAGTGTGCGTAGGCAAACTTTTTCCGACACCAGCAAATCAGAGGTTAAAAATTCATTAGTCCTTTCAACCGTTGCATCATCTTTGCCATCAGAGGATGATGCCACAGTAACTCATTCTGGAAAACTGCTAATGGGGGAGTTGGAGTATGCAGCTGCTACAGGCATGGCTCCCTGCCTCCCTCCGGTGTGGCTGCTTCACGCCGGAGATACCGTGGGGTTAATCATTTCCTGTGGATTCTCCTGGCTGCTGCTAAACCCAAGAGGGGCAGCTGGTGTTGAGGTGAAAAATGGGCATTGCCTTTCGGTGACTACCCAGAGGGCTAAATACTCCCAAAAAATGGGAAGCAACAAGACACCTTTATGCTTCCATCTTGATTTCTGGCTACGTGGGTGTTTCCTGGGTTGCCCTGACGTCTTATTATTCTGGTTATTTGTCAGATCCAGGAGGCGTCTGTTGCTTTTCTTGGGAAATAAAAACTTTTTCTGCCCCAAAGACAGGAAATCAATATCCCAATATTCCCTCTTCTTGAGGAGTAAGTGCAGGGTGAAAGGGAGCTCATGTTACCTTGCCCTCGGTATCCTCAACTCCAAGTTTCTGGGAGAGACTAGGAAGGAGGGAAGGGGTTTGTAAAAGCCGGCAGCAGCTCTCTCCCCGTGAGCACATCCCTGTCCTCTGTTTTCCGTAGCGTCACGGGCTGCTGCAGTGCAGGCAGTAGCTTTAACCTGTTGCCTGGGCAGCAACAGGAGGTAAAACAGGCAGCAGTGGCCCCTCTCGTACCATGGCTGCGAGCCATGAGCTCTGAGACGAACCATCGGAAGGTAAGCGTCGGGAATATTGTTTCCTTGAGTCTCCTTTAGTAAGGAAAAAGCAACTGCTGCATTGAGAGGTGAAGTTTGTTTACAGTATAGGCAAGGTAGCTAATAGGATTAAGCAATTTAGTTGCATTTTCCCCACCACAGGGGAAAGGCTTTGGGATGCCAACTTAGACAGGCAGCTCGGGGGGTTGCATTGTGTATCAGCATGGACAGATCTCTTAATTTGGTTAAAAACTTCAAGGTTGCTGTATTAGAGCATCCTTCTTTCAACGTGAATAATGGCAAATTGACTAGAGTGTTACCACAACCAATTATTGTATCTCATTATTTCTGTTTGCAGTGATGTAATCTTTCCAGTCAGTATTACTTCTCGGTGCAATATCTGCTCACAGCGACCTAAAAATGGCTTAACCCATCCACCTCCATTTTCACTGAGGTTGGGGCATTTTTCTTCTTCTGGAGGGGGGAACAGTGCCTTTGTCACCTGCTTTCAGCACAGTAATATTCAAACGAGGAGCTGACTTTTATGTTGGTATCCCACTTGTCACTCCTTGCCTTAAAAAATGGATTTATGCTTGGCCTGAAAAACTGGATGAATGTTTTTGTGCAAGGGGAGTTCATGTGGTGGAAAACAAGATTGATTTTCACTGGCTATAGAGCCTGGTACCCCCATCATAAATGTATTTTAACTGCACTGTGTGCATTACATTCCCTGCCCATGGCAGGGGGGTTGGAACTAGATGATCTTTAAGGTCCCTTCCAACCCATTCTAACCATTCTATGATTACGTGTTCTTCAGGTCAGACTTTTATCTCATATATAATAATTTTTATGAGCGTATAGGGCAATTTTACATCAAGGTAAAATGCAGAAATGAAGGGATAAAAGAAAAGCATGACACAATCCCATCATACGATAATCACACCTAGTCATCTCTTTGGTTGGAAAGACACAACGCTGCTGCTCCTCCTTCTGCTTCTGTTTGTAACGGTGGTGGTTCTAGCGATATGGTATCGTCGTTC